GCATGTTTAGATGTCTCAAGTGTAACTAATCTGCAGCAAAATCTTAGTATTACGTTTCTTTTCTTTCAGTCTTAAATATGAGTGGGCAGTGAGGGCTGTGAAGCATGGAGGCACTTTTAGATGTTTAGAAAAATGTGGAAAATTCCAGAGGGTGATAACAGGTCAGGACAAGTAAATCCCAGTGAGAGTCCATGCTTTCATTTTGATCAAGTCTTCATGATGATTTGCATCATATTTCTATGTGTTTGGTTAATCTGGTTGGTGTGTATGCTGAAAATCACAGGATGTTTTTTTCAGGAGGATTTGCAGAGTTTTGATGCCTCTTCATGCTAAAGCAGCATCAGGGCAGATGGCATGACCTCATCTTCTGGTTTTTCCTCTTTTTAGGTATTTCTCATCAGCTCCAACATTACAACCAGGTTGGATAGATTTTTCACAATTCCATTCTCTCCTCTACTAAACACCTCTTTTCTTCCTGCGGTCATCAAAGGTTTCTGTGGATTGGAAGCTGAAAACCCAGATTTTGCATTCAGAATGTTGCTGCACTTTGTAATTGATATACAAAAAGATGCTTTGATGGCTTTGTAATGTGGAAAAGAAGGAGGCGAGGTACAGTAGGATGTTCTCTCCAAACAGTGAAAACTTAATTAAAGCTAATATATTAATAAAATGCTTGTTCATTTATATTTTATTTACTTTTTATTCTTCTTGGGTTCAGAAAAAAATAGGATTTACTCTGCCATCATCGAAAAGCTTATTAAAAGTATCTTAATTCAGATGCTGGTTGGTTAACATTTATTTATTTTTCGCTTCTTTTAAGGTTTCGAAGAAATTTAATCTGAGTTCATATACAGGTCCCTGGTCCTCTTGCAACAGTTCCCAACATGAAAACATTTGCTGCTAGGTACTAATAAAAAAATATGCAAATCCTTAAATGACAGACAGAGAGGCTACAGTAAGCAGAGGGAGTTAATGAGGGGAGAAAACATGCACTTATTACCCCCGGTGACATTGTTAAAAGTCCCTGACATTTTGACAGCTGTTATCTACATTGATAGGCTGATAAACTACATAATGGAACGTTGTTCATTTACATTTGAGCCACGGTGGGTGTGGCCTAAATCAGGGCAAAGCAGAGACTTACAGTACATGTTGCAAAAAACAATTTTTTTAAGCTAATTAAATGTTTAACCAAGTTATTAATAGGGGTCTGACATGTTAAACGTTTAGACTTTTCAACTTTTGCATTGAGAGATGTTCTAGTGTGTTCATGGATTTTGGTGTACAGCAATATTTGACCAGAAGTATTTGAAAATGAAGAGTAAGATCAGAAGGTGAGCTCTACTCTGCCTGCTACTGTGAGAGATAAATGTAACGCTGTCAATCATTAATCAGGTTCAACTTCACACCTTCATGCAATGTCTTTGTTGCACTTTAGAACAAAGTGCCAACACTGCATTCCCTGTGCAGCTGACACCAACCTGACACCCAATATTTGGACTGAGTTAACCTATTTTATTATATAAGAGATAAAACAGTTTAAATCTTAGGAAACAGATCAGGATTTTGGGTAGGAGATGCTTTTAAAAGGTTTTAAAAAGTTAACATACCTTCTGCAGAAGACAGCTCTCTTGACATATTTTCCCAATATTGATTGAGTTTGCATCTGTGCTGAATCTTTAATAAATGGTGCCCTAGTTGCTCTGAAATAATGCGGACCAGCTTTGATTTCTCTGTTTATTCCTACTACTATGATATTGGTGCACTTTATGACAAAGTTAACGATTTACCTGATTGAATAACACTTTAAAATGTACTTTAACATTTTTTTTTACACATAATAGCAAACTAACTTATAAAAAAACAGAGTTTGGAGGTGCATTCCAAATGCTTTTTCTGTTTAAAAAGATGTGAGGCATCACCAGTCAGAGTAACTACCTGTAAGTACGACTGTTCAAAATCAACACAATTTCCTCCCCTTGAACTCTACTTTTTTTTTTCTTTAGTTGAATATCAGACAGTTTCTCTGACTGTAATGACTTTGCATGAGTTATAATTAGCGTGTTTCCCACTAGAAGAGAATTGGCTGAGCATTGCCTAACATCTCTATTTTGCGAGGAAATTATATGTAAATAAATATTCCTGCATTTCAAATGTAAAGCCAGTTTCAGAGAGTAGCTGCTGCTTACCAAACATTTTCTGATGTTCAATCTATTTTAATATGGGTGAGTACCTCTTTGTTATCAGCCTCTCTCAAACAACCTAACAACCAGTCTGGGTATAAAGAAAACAGATCTAAACCAGCAGGTTACACAACATCAACTGTTAGTATTTACAATATAATGCAACAACCTTTTACTATCCCTTCAGCTAAAGTCAGACAAGCAACAATAAGAAAATGGAAAAAGGAGCATGATGAAAGGAAAACAAATTTCCTATACGCATGGATGTTGTTCAATAGAGCACAAATAGTTGTCACTTTGAAAGAGTGTGGTTTATAACCTCGATGGGATAGGGATGACTCATTCCCTCTAAATGCCCAGTAAACTGGAAAAACACACAGAGACACAAAGGGGGGGTTAACTGACGAGTACAATGAGTGATAAGCAGAGGGTTAGCTGCAGCCCCATTATGGTGACATTGCGGATAGAAGCGTTATGGCAAGGCATCTGTTGACAATTTCAGCGTTTCTGGATGAATGCAGGACTCCTGATGTCCATTATAGAAACACTCACCAACTGTGGGCAGCTGTAAACCTCAGTGGTTTGTTTACAGTTGAGTTTGATATATATAACTATAATCATGGTGTCAGATAAAGACAGGATAAAAAGCCTCACAACAATTCCTAAAATCCTTTTGTTACCCTCTTCTTTCCAGGCTGCTTCCAGTAATGCTTATCGGTTAAGTAAGAACTGTCAGAGAAACGATTCTAAATACGGTGTGGAAAACTTTTCCACCTGCAGATTAAAGAGGAAAAATTATTGCATGTGCAAACAGGAGGCGAGAGGGGGCGGCCACTCCTATTGCATCGCACATAATATGAAAAAGAGCATGGTGTCCTTATTATCCCTTCACACACCCCGTATGTCTGGTGAAATATTATTTCAAGGTAAGTTCAGCATATTCTAAAGTCACTAAATATATCAAACATAGTTGTAGGCATAATCAAAGGTCAATTCATCTTCATGAGTGTCTGGTAAACAGCAATACCATTATCAGCTGGAGCCTTGGCAGGGATCTTTAAGAGTTTGCATGCTGCTTCTAAGCCTGCTGTTTCCTCCCACAGTCTAACAACATGCATGCTAAAGTAAGTGCAATTTTTAGCTCACAAAACAGCCTGCTTTGCATCTATTTGCTAAAAGGATGGAGGCTGCATGCATATGTGAGTATGTGAACATATCCCTAATAAATATTTTCATTTAATTATCAAAACCTGTTTCTTTCATTTTAAAACTTTTAATAGAAGTCATTATTTGTATCATGGTTATTATTCCAATACCTGTAGAACTGTTCTTACACTATTACTGTAGTAAAGAAAATAAAATCTTTAATGGATACAACAGACTGTTTGCTTTATACTTTCTAAAAAATATGCTGAATCTGAAGCAAATTCAATTCCACAAAAGTCTAATAGTTGAAAGCCTGAAAAGATTAGAGATAATAGCATTAGAGGCTAAGGCAACAAATGTTGCCTGAAGTCCCTAATTATGTTAAACATTTGACCATATGTGTGTCCTTGAACTTTCCCCAACAGTCTTAAACATGTAAATCTGGCTTTATTGCTTTATATCTAAAAGGAATTTCTGTTACTAGTGAAATGCAATTTAATATAGAGATGCTGACTGAACTACAGATATTAAACCCTTTCCCCTGCAAAAACTCACCAAACAATAAAGTTTTACCAAACATTTTCCACTCTAAGAAAGAGGGTAGTTTGCTTAAGGCAAGAACATTGAGTGATTTTGAAGCCTCTTGGCCCCTTTACAATTCCATACCCATATGTTTCCACTATGGACCTATAAACAAACCATTTCATACCCCTGGCATATCTGTAATGCTGTGAATTATGGAGTAATATAGTGTAATGTTATGTTTTTTGTTTTGAACTAAATATGACCTTTTTCAGTTGACTGTGGTTCTGATGTCAAACTGGAACAATTCACTTTTATCAAAATAGACAATTGTGACCCCTTTTTTTAAATCACATTTTCTAATATACAGTAATGTCCAACAACTATAAAAGTAGATTAAATCACTGCTTACCTAAAAGCAGATAAACGGTATCAGATATTAATCACATAAGCTTTTTTTTTTTATTGTATTTATTAAAAAAAAAATAATTTAAAGTTGCTTATCTTGGATCTAATAACTGGATATTTTATCCCTTTTCAGCAACAACTGCTTTCAAATATTTGTGAAAATGATTTATGTGTTTTTTTGTATTTTTATCAACATGGTTATCAATTCTTCCTTTTAATATTGTTTTTATTCAGTCACACTCGATCGTTTATGAGCATAAACATAAAATCACCATTTGAAAAATCAGAGTAATAGGTGAATAACTGGCTATACATTCTTGATTATTTATGTAGCATTTAGTCAGCTGTACACATACCATTGTCTTGTGTTTATAAGACAAGATCTGGGTCAGTCTGTAGGATTATTATGTTGCAGCAAGAAGGTTCTGGACTTAATCCTGGCCGAGGGTCTTTCTGCATGGAGTCTCCTTGTTCTCCCCAGTGGGTTCTCTCTGGGTACCCCGGCTTTCTCTCATAGTGTTAAGTTTATTGGGAACCCTTATGTGTAAGTGTGTGTCCACATTACTGTATGTCTTTGTGTTGCCCTGCGATGGAAGTGCAACCTTTAAACTTTAGCACAGAGGTTTTAAAAGTCCCTGTAAACTATAAACTGGTGTTAATATATTGGAGTTACATCACCAAAAGGTTTTAACACAAACAAAATAATGAGGACACAAGCAACACCCTTTGTTTATCTCTCACCTTGCAGCTTTTGGCTTTCTCACGCCCGCTGGGTTGCCCTGTTTTGGTGCACGGCGAGCACGGCTCCTGGTGGTAATAATGGCATCCTTGCAAGCCTGCATAGTGACAGCAGCCGTACGGTGAAGGGTAGTGCGTGTACCACAGGTCCTCAGCCAGTGGACACCTTGGGCATTGATAGAGAAGGTTTTTCCCCTGGGTTTTTTCCACGTTCACCTTGGGATTCCTCATCCATCGCCTTACCTGCACAGGAAACAATAATATCAAGTTTAATTTTCTTGATTTAAGTTTTGCTTGTCTTTGCTTCTCCCAAAAACTACATACAATGTCAGCCTTGTCATGCAACTGTTTGATCAAGGTCATATGAGTTTGTTATTCTATTGCTAATTACATGTTTGCACAAGAGGATTACACAGACATACTGTACTTGAAAGATGTGCAACTATGTCCTGCCAGAATGAGGAGAACACACACAGATATTTATGAGCTACAAAGCCTGAGAGCTGTTCTTTTTAGCATTCGGTTCATAATATTTACTAGTGTAATATACCAAGCACATTTGCAGGTTTGTGCATGAGAAACAATGCACACTGCACCTAAGGTGACTCACACCTTTCACCACAGCTGCTGCCACGACATGCAAAAAAATAGCTGTGTAGGTGTGGGCATGTTCAGGCAGTTTTAGAGGAAAGAAATTGAGGAAGTGAAGCAAAAACAGAAACATGTGAAAGCTTTATTATAGAAGCTTTAAGAAAACCATTCCTGCTTAGTTAGTAAACACACACCACAGGGCTGTGGCCTGTGTGATGGAGCAAGTTCAGACAGCTGAGACTCAAATACACGCACGTGTTGAGATTGAATGCCTAAAGTCAAGGGTAGCCAGACAGCATGTCAAGGCATGTTGGGTCTAGAGGAAGAACAAACCTGAAAAAAACATCTCAGCAGGTGAAAGTAAAAACAACTGAGGCAGCAGGCCAAAAACAGCCCAGGGAGCTAAAAAAATAATAATAATAAAAAGAATGCAAGAATCTGCAGAAAGATATAAATAGGAGATCAGGACTTTGTTTCATTGATAAATTCAAGAAAGTGTTATGCTTAACTTTGCAATTCATTAATAAAATAAATTACAAAATCTAAATCGGAAGAACATTATTAAGGTTTTCTAAACTATTTTACACATAAAAATAACTTTTCGTGTGTTTTAGCAATATAGCTCTAGGAATAGCTGTCCCAGAGTTAGATGGAAGCCCAACAGCTTTGCTTTCACAAGCAGACCATTATGACTGTTGCCATAAGGTTTCGCTTGATACTTGTATATTAAACTTTATTGAAAATTATTTAGGGAGTATATAATGGATAAGGAGATGGAAAGGAAGGCGAGAAAGGAAGAGGGGATAAGAACTAAGGGTATAGAGAGAGAGAGAGGCAAGAAACAGTGCATGAAAAGAGAAAATAAAAAAGCAAAAATAGACAACAGAGAAGACATACAGTGACTCCTAGAAGATAAATAAATCTTAATAGTGTGGCGGGCATTTGTACAACAACCTTTTGCAGCAGCAAGTCCCAAGAGTATGTCTCATGTTTAAGGTGTTAATCAGACTTGATTTGGTCTTATTATTTCTATTGATAATGAACAAACTTTTGGATTATAGGAATAGCTGTTTTGTTGGCTCTTGAGACATTTTATTTTCACCTTGAATCTGCCTCGGCAGATGGCTGCTCAATCTGAGTCTGGTTCTGCTGGAGGTTTCTTCCTGGTTTCTTCTCCACTGTCGTTTCAAGCATGCTTAATGTGAGGGATTGCCTTCGAGTCAATGAGTCGATGCAATAGACTATTCCCCACTGAAGAAAATCATCTCCAGTGTATAATGTTTTATGATGGGGTGGTGTCATGGGCGTAGGTTTGCATAGGGACCATAGGGACATGTCCCTACCAAAATTCTGAACCGACCTAATTGTCCCTACCAATAATTGGATGTGAGCAACATGTTTATAATTTACAGCAGTAGTTGTTGCAGCAGTGGCTTCTTTTCCTCTCGCAGCTCCTCTGCCTGCTCTCTTCTGTCCCTTTCACGCAGCAGCGCATGGAACTGTGCTGCGCTGTTTAACTCAACTCTCATTGGTTGTTCTGCCTTAGGTTCCGCCTTCTCTCTCTCTGATTGGCTGTTTTCTAGTCCTGGTGTGCTTGGAGCACAAAATTGAAAATTTATTCACACTAGAATGATGCGGTTACTACAATAAATGGCACCAAAACTAGTCTCAGTCTCAGTCTCAGGGGATCCACGTCTACCTGTTCTGGACTAAAGAAGGGGAAAGGTATTTGTCTCACATCAAAACTAGTCCCAATTAAAAAAAATGAATATCATGTACACTAAAAAACAAAAACCTTTTTTTTTCTTTTATAAAGCGAAATATTCTGAGTCAGCCAGGAGTTCTGAAGACACAAAATGGGCAAATAAAGGCTGTAAGCCATCAACATTTCTGATTCTTATCCACAGCCAACTAGAAAAAGAAAAAGTTAGTGTTTCCTTTTTACCAATATTTAGTTGCTATTACTGGTTTAATTTTTTTATGACTCTTTGAGAAAGTTCAGGTATAATTATTAGCAGGTGTTATTTCTCTTATAGAGTACAACAACAAGAAATGGAGCCTAAACATCAGCTGTTTTTCGTTTAAAAAGCACAATTAGGGTTCCACATAATAATAGTTCTATTTTATTGACTATTTATACTTCTAGAAATAGGATAAAGACAAGAACAAAAAAAGGAAGAATATAAACATTGATTTTATCTTACATAGATTTCCACACAGTCTATAAGTAAATTAGTACAAACATTAATGTCTGGTAAAAATGCTGCTGAATCTGGCTGTTTATTTTGGATAATGTTAAATTACAGATAAGATAGTGTTATATTGTCTTTTATAATTGTTAAAAATTATTTTATATTTGAATACACTTAGGCTCATTCTTAGTGTTGTGTTTGTAGATGATGCCACTAAAAATAAAATAGACATACAGTAAGGAGCTATTTAAACAGTCAGACAGTAAGCAATATAGGACAATGATAAAAGGTTGTGTTACATTTAATCCTTTACTATTAAAATTGCACTTATACATTATATGATTATAGGAAACACAGATATCCAGTAATAATGATGCAGGGCAGCTTGTAGGTGAAGCAGCTGCCCTTCAGTGCTTCAGGTGATGTCTAAATAAACCAGGTGAAATTAAAGTATTTCCACATGAGGAGTACTGGATGGAGAATATTGACAGACAAAACATTTTTTTTAATCTTATATATTATATATATATATATATATATATATATATATATATATATATATATATATATATATATATATATATATATATATATATATATATATATATATATATATATATATATATATATATATATATATATATATATATATATATATATATATATGTATATGTATGTATATATATATATATATATATATATATATATATATATATATATATATATATATATATATATATATATATATATATATATATATATATATATATATATATTGTATTTTTACAATTTTGGTATAATTACTGATCTAAGTGGATTGCTCTGTAGGGGAAAGGGACATTTTACATTTATATTATATTTTATAGTCTCCATTCTCCAGTTAATGATGAATCACTCACTAAATTAGTTGATGATTATTGAAATAATCAATTAATGCGATTAATTTTTTCAGCCCTAGATAAAATACATGAATGGGCTATACAGAGTAACTACAGCCCAGATGTTCAACTTTTATAGTGAAGTTAATATTTTAATGAATGTATTATTTTTGCTTGATACAGAGAGAGAATAGTAGGTACAAATATAAGAGTGGGGTTTAACTCTGCACAATTGTATATCTTCAAAAGAAAATACTGTATTTACCTTCTCTAATAGTCATGCAAATGAAACCATTTACAAAGTGGAAAACAGTCCTAATTCCACATTCATCAGAGCCACCGATACTTCAAACAAGCATCTAATGAGTGTAGAGCTTATAACATTTTTATTAATGTAGCAAAATTATGCTTTTCTCTTTTAACAATGAATTTGTCTTATCAGTACGGATGCTCACATCGAGCATAAAAAAGGGCACGCATATTGCAGCACCAATGACACCCGACCAATAGTGTCCCTACCAAAGTTCAAATCAAACCTACGCCCTTGGGTGGTGTAAATAAACAGTGTTTTTCTTCAAGGCTGAAATTTCCACTTCTGATCTCACCTGACGAGACCACGTGTTTTCTTCCACATGTTTGCTGTGACCCTAACATGACTTTGAGTAGACTGCAATACAAACTTCTAATGGGTTTTTATCAACATTTGCTTTCTTGAAACCTTTTTATTAAATCACTCAAAGCTGGATTTTGAACTTATTTTAAGATTTATATTTTTAAGATTATATTATGCTCATAAGCTGTCGTGTCTGTTAATAGCATCTAACATAACCCTGACATTGAATTCGGCTCCAACCTTCTACAATACTCTCTTTTTTTTTTTTTGTGCTGCATTTCTCTTCCTAACGAAAAGCTCCAATATGGATGTCTAAAGTACAGCTCCTGAGCATAAAGGTTGCCATTTTACAAATAAATGGGGAAGGAAAATCTAATGCTAGGCAACTATGAAGAGGTACTTTGGACTATAAATGTGTTCAATTGTTAAGTGTTCTAGTGCAGCTGATGACCTCTTATCCTAACCAAAAATTTTATAGTTCTTTGAAAATGAATAGGTGTCTCAAACAATTCTTAAAAATCAACCTGATGCCAGTCCTAACGTGTTCCCTTTTCTGGATGAGGTCAATCAATAATGTGATTTTTCACCCTTCACTCACACCCTTAAGTTTATCCTAATGTTATATATCACTTTTCATTTAGGGTTGAGCTTCCTCAATTTTGCAATCTTTTACAGCTTCAATTCATAACTACTAACATACTATCCTGATTAGATATTATTACACATAAAAAAAAAACTTGCTTGCAGTTGTCAAGTGGGGAAAAAAATAGATGTAATACTTTTGTCATAAATGAATAATAGCCACACCAAAATAAAAGTCATTATTTTTCTCTGGATTATTTTACTCATCGTAATAAAATCTGCAAAATATGGAAGCATCACATGTCCACATGTCCTTGCCCTTAATCCTGCAATCCCATAAAAGTGTTCAGGCACAAATAGAGCAATGAAAAACATGTATTTACTCACTTATGATTTAAAATTTTGCACCATTGTGTCTCTTAAGAAATATATTGAATATTTTCTGCACTCTGGCTCACATCTTTACCTTATTAGGCTTATTTAGCTCATACTAGAAAGCGAAACAGAGAAGGGCAAACCCTGAAAAGCAGCAAGCATTGTCTGATTTTGGATGTGAGCTCGTGTTTGGTTGGAACGCTTCCGGGCTTTTTTAATCCTCGCTCAGGATTGAATGCAGCCCATACTGATCGTTAAATAGATTAAAAGACAGGAAAAACATCGACTAATAAGAGAAGATAGATGATAAGACAGAATGACATAAAGACAGATTTTTAATTGTTTGTGATCTTGTTCGGTTTAAAGGCAAACATATGTATCCTGTTTACCAAGAGGATAGAATTTATTATTAAGTGGTTGCATCAGTCCACACATTCTCTACAAGAAATATTAGTTGTTTCTTTCCTTTTATCGCTTGCGGTCAGGAATCTCTGTTTGATCTCAGCGGTAAATTATTCAGATTAGGGAAAGCAAGAGCAGTGCTGCTTGTCAAGCTTTTTATAATTACAGCATGCAGCGCACTTCATCTCATCAGTTAAACAAGCCTCTGGCCAACTAATGTGCTGCCTCACTTTTTAGACAGTCAGCATAATTTTTTTTTACTACACATTGATCTATAAATCCTTCAAACAGACTTTAAACCCCTTAAATGAAAAAGAAGATGTTTGTTTTCTATTAAACTTGCTTTCTTTTGGGGGAATGCAGGTGGCGCAGTGGTTAGCACGCAAGACCCGTGTACGGAGGCCTTAGTCCTCGATGCGGCCAACCCAAGTTTGAATCCAACCTTTGGTCCTTTGCAGCATGTCTCCTACCCTCTTTCCTGTCAGCCAACTGTTTGAAAAAGACGCCACTAGTGCTGCAAACTAAAAAAAAAGAAGAAAATCTGGCTTTCTTTTTTAATATTGTAATCCCCAAATAACCCTCCTTAACAACAAAGGGAGCTCATGCTACTTGATGACTCGGTTTTAAAAAAAACTAACAAGGTTTAAGAATTACATAATCCACACCTAAATATAGAGAGAGTCACAGTAAAATACTGCTTGGCTATAATTACAGTTAGTGAAAGCAGCTGACACAAGTAATGAGGAGGTTTATTTGTCTTTTTGTTTCCTTGGTTTTGCTAAAAAGTTGTACGGTGCATTTCATCCCTTTCCTTAAAACTTCAACTAAGAAACGTATTCATTTATGTTGACTCACCGGCCGGAGGATCCAGAGGATGGCCGGTTGGGTTTTCTTTTTAATTTGCATAATAATTGCAGACTATTGCCACTGGGAATATTTTAAAGCAAAAACATGAGGTAAACAAGGAGGAGAATGCTCCAACCGTAATGGTGAGATGTTTCTGTTATGTAAAAATTTGCTTTGTGTTTTCTTTTTTTTAATGTTCATTCTGAGCATAAATTTTTTTTTACATAGCCACCACATCTGTTTTCCTTAAGACGTAGTTAGCCTTTTACATAAGCAGAGTTGAGAACATTTTGCGCTCTCTGGTTTAAAAAGTGCTCTTAATACTTGAAATTTCTCATATTTTTCTGCATATTTGATCAATTCTATTTAAATAATCCAACAAAAATCATGCATTTTTTAATAAATAAGGATAAACAGGTTACACTCTATTTACAAATAAGAATCTGTGGTTTACATTTGTGTTTAGCACCTTAGGTTAATGTCTCCATACAACCCTCTATAATTACAGATAACTTTTTTTTTTTTTTTAGCATATATCGCTGCCAGCTTTGTACATGTAGAGACTGAATATGTTTGCCCAGAATAGCTCCCACTCAGTCAGACTAGATAATAAGCATCTCTGAACAAATCTTCAAAGCCTTGTCACAGAGTTAGATTTACATTATTCTGTAATCCAAACTTCCCCATTGCTGTTCTGCAATGGGATTGGCGGGGTGTCTTGTTGGAAAGCAAACTTCCTGCTCCAGTTATATTTGGTTTTAATAACCTGCAATGATTACAGGCAAGAAGCAGTGTCCCCTCTATACTGAAATTTCATTCCTGCATGTTATTAAGTTACTTGTTGCATATTTAAAACACATCTTCTTATTGTTTTTTATTATCATGATCATATAAAGGCTAAACTACACTATTAGTATATTTTCCTTGTTGACTGAAGCTGCTTTTGACTGGATCTTTGATGTACAGCCACATCTAGGTAGGTTTTAGTTGTCAAATATTACTTCCATTTTACATAACAAATGTAAAAAGTCCTCTATGTGATGTTTACATTTTTTTAAATGATATAATACTGTTTTACATTTAAATTCCTCAACTTTTCCTGATTTGCCTGTTTTGTTATTTGGTCTTCATGCTGATGTTGATCATTGTTCTCTAAATAACCTCCACACAACAGCTCCTATACTGAGATCAAATTCAACGCACATAAATTGAATAGAATAATCAAACTTCATACTACTGATTTTATTTAGCTGCATTCCAGTAAAGGGGGATAAATATGCCAAACAGTCTTTGTAAACAATGTCTCATTTTCATTTGTCCTTTCACTGTAAAATTATTCATTAGTTTTGACAAAATTTGGGCCTCATAATTTGGGAAGTGGTGGCCCAGTCGTAAAGGCATAGAGGTTGGAATCCTGGGGTTCTGAGTTTGAGCCCCATGCCTAAAGACTGCCACTCTGGGTCCCTGAGCAAAACCCTTAGCTTCCAAAGGGGATGGGTTAAATGCAGAGGTAAATTTCTCTAATGTGAGATCAATAAAGTTCAATTATAATTTTTGAGATAACGACTTTTGATGGCCGTTGAGAGGAAAACCTTTTGGCTTGTTTGTGCTCCTAACTAATCAGAATATTATAAGCTTATAATAAGAGTGTCTCTGTATTACTGTAAATGACACCATATTAGACAGTTCATATTCTTTGCTAATCTTAACCTTTCGAATTATGCTAAATAATTACTCAGAAGCCTCATTGAGCAGCTTGAATATTCATTAAAACCTGCTCCATAGGAAGTTTTATGTGTACTGACTCACAACAAGTTATTTTCTGTAATGTGAATACTCATCCATTGAAGAAGTAATAAAAACAAGTAGATAACAAAAGGCAATACATGAAGCCTGTGGAAGAAATTGTCTTTGTGACAGCACATCAGCATCGTGCTCTGAATGATCCAAACCAGGACGAACTGAAGGATTTTCACACTTAATCCAACAGCTTTTGGTTTTAGACTCACGCAGACACACACATGTGGGGAGAAATACTATAATGCACACAGACAAGGAGGGAATCTGTTCTTCAGTCTGATTAGAGTGGCTTTGCTCTCACTATGACATCATCTCTGGCACTCACACACAAACACGCCGACACACAAACACTGCATGTGAAGGTGCATGAAAAGGCAAAATGACAAAAAAAAGCTCACCTTTCTCTTGACAAACTGAAATGCCGAACACTTCTTAAAGGAGAAAGCAGTTTTTTCTCCTCCTCCCACACCTCCGCCTCCCCCAGCACCTCCTCCTCCGTTAACCATCTTCATGGCCGACACCGGCACCCCCGCTTGCCTCTGTAGATCCCAGGATGACAGGAAGGACTGTGGTGGAGCAAAGGGGAGAATGTTTAAAGAGAGACACGGCAAGGAACGAAATACTTTGTGTGGCAATAAGAAATAGGATGGAGGAGAGAGAGACAAGAGTAGGTGGAGGAGGCATTTGAACCAAAATGTGAGGGAGGGATGCAGGATGCTGCAATTAGAGTGGGATAACTACAGCAACAAATCTGTGAAGAGATAGGATAAAAAAAATGGAATGAGATTAATGGTCAGAAAGATGGAGATTTATGGAGAAGATGAAACAGCCTTGTTTACAAGTTTCATTACACTTAAAGCATGTCTAGACTAAAGTTTTTGCATCTTTTTTCCTTAATGTATCACTAATAAAGTGTCGTCACGTCTGCCTCCATCTGTACCTTGATGCTGTTGTTTCTGCTGATGCCGCTGATCCCACTGCAGCCTTTTTATTTTTAAGAGTCCCGAATCAGAAGCTGTAAGTCCCCCCGTCAGTTACAGGTGTCCCTTTTAGTTTCCTTCCTCACTCATCTAAAGTCTTCATTCCCAAAGGCAAACCGGAGAGAAGAGATGAAGAGAGTCCGTGAACAGGACGTTGTTTAATGACAGCATGTCACTGATATGTGTGTGTGTGTGTATATATGTGTCATCAGCAGAGCAACAGCTTGAGATGCACTGTGGGTGAAAGCTTAGGAGGTGTGTGTGGATATGTTGGTGGGTGATGAGGGGAGGATGATGTGTCCAGTTGCAGTGCTGCTACTTTATCAATGAAAGGCTCTGCAGTGAGAAGCTGCTGCCTCCCCTTCTCTCCCTCTCTCCCTCTCTCTCTCTCTCTCATCCAGCCTCATCACTGTTCCCCACCCTCCCCATTTACCCCGTTCACCCATCATTCCGCTGCAGTCGAGGATAGCTCCTCCCATTTTCTCTCCAGCCATCAATCGCCTTGTCACACCCCATTCTTCTGAGATTTTCTTTATCTTGGTAAAAAATTGTCCCACTGAAAAGCTGAGGAGGGGAATGAGACTTGTATTTTGTCTGCACTCTACAATACCTCTGCAAAGGCTTAACACAGAACATTTTAATCATGTTTTATCTGATTTGCTCCAGCAGGGTTTAAGCTCTTTCCTCTGGACCTGTAGGATTCCATATTCTGGCTGTGCAAATTACAGGAAGTGCTGTATTTTTCTTTTTTTTTTTTTTTTTTTTTTTTTTGTTGTCATCCTAAAAGTTTGTTGTTGTTTTTTTTATTTAAACCTAGTTTCTTCCTTAAGTCCAAGTTCAGAACTCTTGACACATGGAAACATGGACACCTATATGTACATCAAACAAGGGTCATGATACAATTTGAATAAGCCTTAAAAACGCATAATCGTATCTGCTTTATATATAAATACTTATGTATCATTAAATAAATTCTGAATAAATTTATGCTCTTCTTAATGATTATTTGAAAATCTTTTTTGGCTTCAATAAGAATGCTAATTTTCAATGCAGACCTTTCTTTTAAAATGTTTTTCACTAGTATTGTTATAGTATTGTTATAGTATTGTTTAGAATATATTCTTGGTGAGGTCCAGGTCTTTGAGGTTGGTCTTGTATCACTTTAATACTAAATAGGTATTCTGTGTTAGTTCAAATGCAGCAGCAAAAAATGTTTCATTTACAGTTCAGTCTATCCTGACAGAGAAATCTGGAGATTGATTCAAAGTTTGGGACTTTTGCGGCATGTGTGGTCCATTTTCTCTCTGTGTTCAAAACCCCTTAGAAACTAAAAGCCTTAAAAAAATAAAAAAAAATTTGGTAAACCTACACTGCAAGAGAACTGAAATCTAAAGCCATTGTTTCTTAAAATAAGTGCATTTTTCTTAAATTGAGGAGTTTAGTGAGACACTTTGCCAATGGAGCAATTTACATTTAAAATAAGAAAAAAAAACTATTGCGTTGTCCTATTTCAAGTGCTTATTATCTAATTATCTTATTTTAAGAGGAAAAAAATTATTCCATTGGCAAATCATCTTATTTACCTACTCAAAGGTAAATACACTCCTTTTGAAAGAAATTCTCACTTATTTCTAGATTGCTTATGCAGTGATAAAAAACAAGTCACAGACAGTTTGAGCAAACAAATAAATAATCTTTGAGTGTAAAGGAGTCTGAGCCTTTTCTCTTAAACATCCCACATAAATAAAACAACTCCTCATGTCCAGGCTTTGTATAGCTTTGCAGCTGTGGGATGGCCAGAACTTTGCCTTCTGTGTGGAAAATAAAACCAAATGGATACTCAAATGAAGTAATTAAAAAGGAAATCAAATTCTCACACCACTAGAGCCCTAATCACCAGAAGGGGCGCTGTACCAAGGCTGCAGTGGTTTCAGGGAGACATCATTAAAATTGGTGCCACCAACATGGGGAGAGTCTAAGTGAAGTATGTATATGTAGGAGTTTTTACCTGCAGCTCCTCCAGAGGTACTTGGGGCTTGCTGGATACTTCCCTAATTGTTGCTTTTGCTGCATTGCCTGTCAGTTTATGTTGAGCAAATCGCTTTGTAGATTTACAGTTGTATCACACTCCTTTGACATGGTTGATTAATTGGTTCTCTTTCAGAAAAAAGGCATACAATAAATAATCTAAAGCATGTGTTTCTTGAGATGGAATAAATACATTTTTATCATTAGGTTAATAGGAAAAACCCTATTAAAGAAAACAATGACTGAGTAATGATCTGCTAATTACAGTCTGAATTAGGGCATTAGATGGAAAATGATCTGTGACTCAGCAGCACTTACATAATACTTTGGATGGCAAAGTAAGCAGTGGACAGCACACACATAATAAATAGCTTTTACTGGCAGAGGTTAAGGGTTGAATGACCAAACTGTCCTCACAAATCCTACAGTGTAAAGGTAAGGGTAGATAGCTTTCTAATCAAATATCAAACTTATTATGGAGAAGTTTTATTATCTCCTATTCATAATTTAATGTCGTCATTTGCTTCAACTTAGACCGATATAACTTTGTTCAATGTTGCTGAAGCAGAAAGACATAAACTCTGCTCTGTTATTTCAGCATCATATAAATAACAAAACATTTAAAATGTAAATTCATGAGGCAACTTTAATAAAGGAAGAAAAGGGTAAACTTCAGCAGAAAACATTGGTGAAATGTTTTACTAAATCTGTTCAGAGGGATAAAAAGAAAAACAACCTAGTTTGCCAAAACATCTCATCATTGAGCTCTGAGGACTGTGAGGTGCTCTCACATAGTCTGACAGCAGTACAGCCTTACATAACCTCAGCAGACTCTCTCTCAACTGTATAGCTGCATCCACATGAATAATTCTGTCTAAGAAAATGTTCATTGCTGCTCTTGTGAAATAAGAGAAGCAGCTTCAGAATGATCAATTAGATATTCTCCTAAGTCATATGGATCAATGACAAAATCTTCTGCATATTCATTAGTTGTGTTTGATTAAGTTTTATATATAACCAGAACTTTATCAAAAACAAAGAATCTAGATAAAAAGTAGTTCTTTTATTCTTTATATTTACTCTCATGCTTAAATCCAAGAACTTCCAACCAGAAACCAAGTTTTTTTTTTTTTTTTTTTTTTTTTTTTAGCCCTTATGATTGGCAAAAATTGTAATCTGAGACTGCTAATGAGCTCCACTGGGTATGCTCTTATCACATTATGAAAATCACATAGCTAGGGATTGAAAAACTGCAAATTTTTCTCTGCCTTTTAAGTAAAATAAAATAAAACTGAACAATCCTTGATAAGTTGTTAACATAAAACATGAAAACAGTTTTAGTACATTATTAAAACATTTCTTAGATGATCATATAGCCTATATTAGTTAAGATAATGGTACAAAAAAATATGGTAAATGGCCTTTACTTGTACTCTATAGCACCTTATTTAGTCCAAGGATCACAAAGCACACAAGATAATCAGTCCTTTTCCCATTCACACACACTTTCACACATGTACAAGGAGCTACAATGTAAGTACAAAGCAGCTACGTTGTACTGTAAGTAGAATACATTGTATTTACAATGTAGCTAGATTGTGAGTACGATGTAGCTATATTGTAAGTAAGATGTAGCTAAATTGTAAGTACATTGTAAGTACATTGTAGCGACACTGTAAGTATGATGTAGCTACATTGTAAGTACAATGTGGCTAAATTGTAATTACAATTCCAAACTTTCTCTATGTAAAATTATTATTATAATTTGTTGTTTTTTTCTTACAAAATAATCAAGAATGCAGGTAGTGGGCTAACAACAGTCTCGTAGAGTAGAAATTTTTGTGAGGACAGACACATTTTCACTCAGAGAAACTGATAGACTTAAAAGTAAGCTTGTGTGAACATTTACAAAAATAAGGGTCCCTTTGACACTATAACATTGGGGATTATTTATAGCACTTTACTTTTTATGTCAGATACTGTGCTGACTAGAAACCCTTTATATGTTGAAGTCTCACTGTGTTTTACAAAGACAGATCATTAGATGCACATTGCCTCATCCTCAGTTTATATATAACTTCAGTTCTATGGTTTTTATCTTTGGCTCTGAGCATAAATTACTCCTAATTCCCACGCCTCTTTGATTGCAGATCATCAGATTAAAATTGCATCGCCTCACCGAGGCTTGAGTGGTTTCTGGCCCCAAACTGGCAGACCACTGACATGCGGTGGTGAGATCATAAATTGGGAACAATGCCCAGACACCAACTGTATGCACTGTTCTCCGTAACACATTTCCTTATTTTCCCGCGTTGTCTTTCACTTTAAGGGGAATGTCATAAATTAACCATAGTTCTACTCTGCAGCAAAAATGGTCTACATAGGCAGAAGTGCTTCACTTTTCTCTTCACACAGCTTTTCTACCCACACTGAAAATAAAAATTATGCTTTGTTTTTGACAGAAAAAAAGGGGATATGATTTCATCAGATGTGACATGCTGTGAAAAAAAGCATATGTTTTCAAAAAGA